CTCGCTTCCTCCTCCCCTATCCTTTTTTCTCCTCCTCTCTCTTGCCTCCTCTTCTTCGTCCTTCACCAGCACCTCCTTCTCTCCTTCATCATCCTTCTCTCACACTCTAAAAGCCTTGACCCTACCTCTTCCCCCTCTCCCCTCTTGGCATATAACTAACCCTCCCCTACTCACGTGTTACATTACCAGGGAACGAACGGTGAAAGGAATTTGTCTTCACTTGGTGGAGAAAGTGGGCAAGGGAAGGCCTCTCGGTCGCTTGTGCCGCCAAGAAGGAAAGGAAAAGGGGCATTTGAGAAATTGGAAGGAGGCAAGTCCGGAAAAGGGACTAGAAAGAGTCGGTACTTAAAGCAAGGTCAGTTGACTCAACCATTACCCCGACTGCATGACTAAGGGAAGGGATTGACCTGGATTGAGGAAGGAAAAGGAAAGCACAAAGGGCTAAGGAAAAGTGAACTTAGGCTTGTGGGAGGGATTATGTGTTGACCCCATGTGGGGGATGCTTTGCTTAAATTGTGTTGGATGTGCAGGTAAGTAGCCTAAAGAGTTATTGAGCGGGAATGGGTTCCGGGTATGCTGGACGGCAAAAAGAAAGTGGGACTGAGGTCAAACAGGTTGTGGACTTAACCCTTGCCCTTGAATAAGTTCTTGAGCATGTTCGTGCAAAGCAAAATCGGCCATAGCAAATTGCAAGACATAAGGCGGCCAAGACGGCCACCTCGATTAAAATAAAGACTTTGGACGTATATGCGGGATGGGGCCCCAAAAAGACTAAGGGGTGTATGGGGCAAATGCATAGGCTGGACAAAAGAAAGACATGTATGATGTATGCGACAACGAAAGTCACGGTAGGATGGCCAAAGAGGGATGCAGGCAAATCCCTAGAGAGGCGTAGGGGGACCGCAAGACATGGTCCGCGGGCCCGAGCCGAAGGGCGGCCGCACGCTCAACAAGGTTTTGAGGACTCCTGCTTAGTGAATGCATGTGTGACCCAAGGATGACGCTTGGCCTACGCATAAAAGAAGAAAGACTTTCAATAAACCCCCTGGACTGCTTGCGCATTGGAAGGAGCAATTGCATGATAACACCTCAAAGCATCAAGAAAAATCGCGATTGACGAAAAGTTTTGGCGAGTCTACCATCCAGCGAGAGAGCGGAGCTACATCCCCAATGTCAAAGCTCTCTCGCAAAATGGTCCATCCCCATCCATCTCAAAGCACTAGGTGGGGATGCCCCTGTGACGAACGCTCCGCGCCCTGAGCATGAGTGCGGTCAGAGCAGAACCAACTGGGACCCGCAGTGGGGTCGACTCAGAATCGAAAGTCTAACAATGTACGACCCTACAAAAAATGGTGGAGGTGTCGGGTGCGGGGTTAAACTGACCCTTGCGATTCCGGGGGGGGGCGCCCTAGGCATGACCGTGTACACAACCAAAGAGAATGAAATTGAACTTAAGTTTGCTCTTCCCTTTGAGAGAATAAGAATTGAGAGTGGTTGGGCGCATGGCTAGGCCTGGAGGTATAACATGCATGCTGCACACTTGATCAACTCACTCCTTTGTAGAGTAGCTCTAACTCCCCTCCTCCGGTGCTGGTGTTCGCCAGTCCGGAGAAGCCTCGGGCAAGTCATAGGTCGACCCTTCCTCTTCGTGTGAAAGAAGGGCTCTGGTTACCTGGCAGGCGGTTGGTGCTTCGGCTTCGGTCGGGGTCCAATGAAAATCCCCCGGTGGAGTGATCCGGCACTGGGTGCTCTTCTCTCTTCTTCTTCTGAGCCCAGCGGGCTCATGCACTATACACTTGAGATGCTTGAAAAAACCTACATGAACACTATAGGTCGTCAAGAAGGAACAATCCTACCCTGTGAAAGGACAGACAAACGAAGATAAAGGAATGAAGGGACTTGCTAAACTCCTAAGAAAACTACCTCACCCTTGAAGACGCTCACGAAAAGGAACCAACCACTGTGTATGGAAGTAAGGGGAATAACACTCATTGTCCTAAGAGATAACCGTGAGGTATGGGTAGGAAGCGTTGGGTGCACCAAGGGAAAGACACTTGTACTATGTGTGTCCCACTTGGGACTTGTGATTTGCATAAGGGAAAATGAGCGTTCTGCCTTTCGGAAGGAAAGGATGGGTCTAAACCAGCTGGGCGGGTTGCGAAAAGTTGTTTCTATTGTAGTGTCGTCGGGTCTCATGTGTGGGAGGTTGGGCCACCGGGCTGTCAGACAGGAGTCGGTCTCGCTGGTTGATTAGTAGCACTCCCTACCGGGCGGACCGAGCATGGCTCGGCACCTTGCCCAGGCGGGATGCGAAACGTCTCCTCAGGTGGGGCGACTGCTTGTCAGCAGATGGACCAGGACCGCTGCATGTGGGGCAAGGAGGGAGCCTCGAAGACAATTAGTGCCTCTCGTAGTATGGCGGTGGAAAGGCTGATTCTTATCGGCCGATGGAAGTGAATGCCCAGACGACTGACTTTTGCTCCTAACGGGGTGCGAGGGGTGATTCCCGGTGCCAACGGGGGTATGCAAGAGCAGCAAAACGGGATGGGGTATTTTGGGCGAATGGAGAGGGGTAACACCTTGCCTAGAATTTGGGTACTGCGCTCGCGATAGTTGAGCTGCGCTTCAGGTATGGGATAAAACTCTACCGAAAGTACCAGCGGAGAGACCACATTCAGGAAGGCCGGTGAGGAGATGACCGGTCTGTGTGTGAGATTGCTTGGACTTTTTTTTTGTGTATTCCCCCTCTGTAAAGGTTGGCTGAGGTCTGAGTTGTTGGACGGGGCAATGATTCTAGTTTATTCCCACCTCGCCTCAGTCTACACAAGTGAGAGATGATTGAAAGGAAGGAGGATAGAGGTCAGCTGGAATGGAACCAAAAGAAGGAATGTAGGATATGATGGTCAAGGAGGATAGAGGTCAGCTGGAATGGAACCAAGAGAAGGAATGTAGGATATGATGGCCGACAGGAGGTGCTTTGGGAAGGTGGCACTTAGGAATGGGGAGGTAGATTAGGGAGACCTTGATGAGGGGTCTAAAATAATTCTCATCTAGGACGTCGATTGACCTGACCGGAGGGTTTTTCGGTGCTCTCTTATGGAAACAGGAATCGGGTGCTGGAAAAACAAGATGGCGCGGTGACTGTCGTCTCCAATCTATGCCGGCGGCCCGAAAATGTCGGTAGACGTAAAGGACGGGGTATCGGTCGTCCTCCCGGAAGAAGGAATATGGACAGACCTAGAGCCAGCCTACCAAACTGTAATGCTGGATGAGGAGGACGCGTTCCTTTGGATACAGACGATATGGACTAAGGTCAGTCTGACGAGATTGTCGCCAAGCTTGATGGATTTGGAATTTCGTGGGACGGTGGAAGCCCGAGGGTGGGTCTACTTGTCCCAGGATGGGGAAAATGCTATGATCGTAAATCTGGTGCTAGGGACTGCCCCGGACGAACTGTTTAGGAAGGCAGAGAGGGAGGTTGTATGGGCTGCATATCAGCGGGCGGATATGGAAATGGAAAGGGTAGATGTGTGAGTGGAACTCGGGGATAGGGGGAATGTGAGACGGCCCGTTAGAACAATGAGATGTGTGTTACCTCATTTTCTGGTGGATGCGGTCTTCGGGACCCGGAGTAGGCTGGTGCAGATATGCCAGTCCATGACCAACCTTGGGTTGTACCAGTGCGCCAGGCAGGACTTCTTCCGGCTGTCGGTGGAAATGGGGCCCTTTGAAGGAAATTGGGTGAGGGAACTAGCCGAGATGTTGAATTGACTTAGTATAGATAATGTTTATGTCCCTAACCCGGTACATTGGGGGATCGTTTATAGAAATGTGGCAGTAGGGTAGACCTTCCTGGAAGGGGTGAGGGAATTGTTCTACGACGGAGAGAATGACCTCAGCGATGACGATGAGGGGGACGAGATAGAGGATTGAGATTTCTAAGAAAAGGAACTTATTTGAGGGAAACGACTGGCCGACGCTGTGCAGGAAGAGGTGATGCCTAAAGACCAGCTGTTGATGGACTGCACTTTCAAAGGATGGAAGCCAAGGCGACTCAGAGGGGGGGTAGAAATGCTTATACCGACGAAAAACGAATGGAGAGGAACCACGTGCGATTATGTTGGGTTTCAAGTTGCCCCGGATCTATTATACCTATGGATAGAACGAATCTGGAACCCGATAAGGGAAGAGGAAGGATGGGACGATATAGTGGAAGGAAAGGTGGAATCAGTCGGAACGATTGTTCTTTCCGAGAAAGGGTGGCACTTGTTTTGCACTACGCTAGCAGCGGGACATGATCCGATGTGGCTTATGGTAAACGCGGAGGCAAGGACGCGAAAAGAGGGTGAGAGGTTCGCTAACGAAGTGTGGGATGAGGTCAGTAGTAGGCTCGTGATGGGGGGATGGAAGGAACTCAAGCCTCCCTGCCTACGAACAACGGTCTGGGTGTCGGGGTTCGTGGTCGATTGGTTTGGGGGTTTTGACCACATTTAAGCGTGGCCGATTCCATGGAATGGACGCACATAGAATATGCCTGGTTGACCGAGGAGTTTTATAGGACCTCGTTGAAACACGGGCCCTTCTACGACGACAGTGCCTGGGAGGTCCTCACCATTTTGAGAATAGGTAAGTATGATCGTCTGGAGGTGGACGCGGAGACCAAGGATGCCATAATTAGCCGGGAGGCGACAACCGCTCCATCCTACATAGATGACGTTTTTAAACTCTTTGAGATAATGTGGTTCGACTGAGAGATAGGGAGCTCGGAGACCATGAGGAAACCAAAAAGGGGGGGGCGATGTATGTAAATTAAGGGGTAACGTAGGGTAGGAGGCGTGTACATTAAATAAGCGGGGCGTGCATGAGGATTAAAACAGGGGAGGGCGTCCGACTATTGTGGGCGCGACTGCAGATCACAGGCAAGGAAGTAAGACAAGAAGGGCAGTACGAAATGACCCGAAGAAGGACGTTCCTTGAAGTCCGCCCACTGAGAATTGAGCCACCAAGGGAATGGGAAGACGACATAGAAATCAGCATGCCAACCCAGAATGAAATCCGGAATCCTATAGTGGACTGGATCGGAATCAAGTTTTTGGAAAACACGGTGTACCTGGTAACCAAAGTGGAATGGCATGCGGAAGGGGAGCAGGGCGGATGAAATCCGGATCCGCGAGGGCACGTACACGCGAAGGGGCGGCTGTACCTATCGAAGGGTGGGTGGCGCACCTTTCGGGTCACATTAGCATCTGGGGGAGACCCGCTGGGTATGTCCGAGGGTGCCTGGCAGCTAGTATGGCAGGTGGGGTTCGAGTTCGCCGATCCTGAGCGGGACTAAGTAACGGCGGATCTAAGGGTGGCTATGGTAGGAACCTTTAGTCTACCAAATGAGAACGTACGAATGAGGTTGCCGCCCTTTTTACTACAAAGGATGGGTGGCGAGGCGCATATCAGGCAGGCAGTAGCGGCCCTGGCCGACCTAACTTTCAAAAAAGCAATGACTTACAGGGAGTACTACCGGATCTTCCTAGAAATGGGGTCGTTCGATAGCGGGGAAAGGTATGAGGTACTATGCGTACTACACGCAACTTTGACAACAAGGCCAAGGATTCCACTAATCAATGACCACGTCTTGTATCCAGCTAGAGGTAGGCCGGTGCCCGACTTACATAGACGATCTTTACCGGTTGTACGAGCTGCCAGAGGAAGATGCTGCCCCCTGAAAGATGAACTAAGAAAGGAAGAATAGTAGAGGCCAGGGAAGAAGAATGAAGGCATACAAGGAAAAGGACGCGGTAGACGGGTTGTTGTTGAAAACATACTGTAATCCTCACTGTTTGGGTTATGCAGGAGATCACCGATCAACGATGGCGGCAAGACGCGTCCGGACGGCACGCCAACCCCGGTACCCCGGCCCACCCTAGAATAACGGCAGGGGGTGGGAAGTATCTCTTCCGGCAAGCTTCGAAGTACGAGGAATCGACGTAGAATGGCGGGTCGTAACCTTGGGAAGGGACTGCGCCTTTGTGATGGTGGAATGTTTGTGGACAGGGATGCGGTTTAACCGGGGGCCTAGGGATGACCTATACTCGAACTTGGAAGTAACTGGGACTTTGTACCTACCCGAAGTTGGGTGACACTCGCCAGGGATCGAAATAACACAGGGTCACGAAATAACACAGGGTCACGAGCTAACCCCGGTCTTCCGGAAGGCCGGCCGGGTATTGACGAGGATAGGTCAAGTTGTCAGAGGTAGGAGGAACGTGGGCTTACGGACCAGGGTGGAAATAGGGAGTTGGCAAGGGTTTAGTGCACCAGCAACCCCGTTGAGGTGTCAGGTCCCCCGATTCAGGATAGACCTCATCTTTGGGAGCCTTCCTAAGGCACAGGATCTGGCGGACTCAGCGACAGTGTGGGTAGATCACTTCCCACCTCAAGCCATCGAGATGTTTTACGATATTTCCGTGGAGCATGGGCCGTTTGGGGGGAACCAGGCCCAAGAGTTACTGGAGGTCGTCAATATTTTGATATTCAGGACGCCGCGGTTAGCCTATGCGAAATACGAGCACATAATTCAGAGAGAAATCGAGATAGGGGAGAGCTATCTAGCAGGGGTGGCTCAACTGTTCGAGGAGCCTACGGAACCGGAAGGGCCACGGAGACGAAAGCAAGACTAGCACCAGGAAATAAGCCCGTATGGCGAATATAGTATATGCTATCACATGTAGGGGCTCGTCAATGGAAATGGGAGAGGGCCGCCAGAGCCAGACGGCCAAATACGCCACTACAAAACAAGGAAAAGATAGTAAAAACGCGTAGTCTGGAAGGTGTGGAGAGTCGTGCCATGGCCAAGGCAGGTCGACCATAGCAGATGCAAACCTTGCCTAACCACCTGTGGTGAAACGTGGATATTCCTTAATACCGAACAAAGGCTCGATCTCTAGGAAAGACCCCTGCCACTGGTGTGGTTTCGTCCATCGGGAAGTAATAGTAGCCGACTGTGTCGTCGCTCGTACGTCGTACGTGGGGTCTCCGTACGGCCCGTGCACACGGACGGATGAACGGCCGTACGGGCGTACGGACGACGGTCGTCCGAAGGTGTTTTAGGGGCAAAAACAAATCAAAAAAATAAAATAAAAATATGGGGTTGTAGATCTTTTCGAGATCTACAACCCAATATTTTCTTTTCTATTTTTTGGCCTTAAAGAGGATTTTAAAAAACTCAAAAACAAAAAAAAAAGAGAAAAAAAGAAAAAAGAGAATTTGGTAGCAAAACAAAACGGGCAGTTGCCTCGCATGCGTGTGTGTGTGTGTGTGTGCGTGTGTGCGTGTGTGTGTGTGTGCATGTGTGTGTGTGTGTGTGTGTGTGTGTGTGTGTGTGTGTGTGTGTTTGCAGGGGAGAGGCGAACCCCCCCACTTCATATCAATCAATCAATCAAAA